CCGAGGCCCTCTACCAAGGGCGTAAGAATAATTTAGAGAAAACCAAGATGCTGTATGCGTCCAACAGTGACTACAATGAAGTTAAGCAAAAGCTTCAAAATAGATTCGCAAATACACAATATATTCCAGGAACGCACAAATTTCATGCCTCTATTTATACCCGAAATATCAACAGCACTCATTGCGAAAGAATATTCGATCTCCAATGATAGCTTAAAGGTTAGTCCTTTTATTAAAACAAGAAAAAGGAAAGGAAAAATAAACCTAATGAGTAATAAAATTATAGTTAAAAAAACTAACAACACATTAAAATAAAATAACACTTTTTAATATACAACGCTTTTATAAATGGACTAAAAATTTGAAAATAAAATAATGTAAAAAAAAATATTTTTTAAAAACAAGCTTTTATTTAAAACGTACAATCAAAGGAATAAAATAAAGTAGTGTAACAAAAGATTTTTTAGCAAGAATATTTTGTCAAAACTGCACTAAAATTAATAAAATAAAATAATTTAAGGTCTCGTTAAAGTTACTAAAAGCCATTTAGTGAAAGGAGTTACTCAAACTCTAATGAAAATTACTAACAATTTGTACTAATTTACTTCGTTTTTAAAAAAGCTTGTCGGCGAATTCAGCGTGCATGCATAATTGGTTAGGTATGTATATGTATGTATGCAGATATTTAAATGCCGGTTTGCTATTCGAATTACAATAAGAACTAAAAAGAAAAAAAATACTTATTTAAATATTCGTTTAAGAAGGATATGAAGTTCCCTAACTTGATGTTATTTAACCTTTTAAACTAGCTTAATATAGGATTAATGTAATTGGCACGTATTCATAGTCGAAATAAAGTCCACTGTAAAGTTGGTTGCAGTTGATTTTTACAGACATCCCATTGGAAACATACAGCACCTTATTTTTCTCTCAGTTATTCTTAATCTATCGGTAGAGGGCTTCGGGTGTATGAATTTGTTGTAACGTCAGGAGTTGAAGACTTGCTGTAGCTGCTAGTCTCTTAAAACTTCCTCGAATCCCGTCGCAAGCAGATTTCCCTTGTGAACTTAAAGCATAAAGTTCAATTCTGCCATTTCCTTGAAGGGATTTTCGTGATTACAGACCCTTTAGTAAAGGTAATATGATTTATTCATATTGTTTTTGTTTTTTGCACCCCTTTCCTCTCTCAAAAATATACAATTTCATAAAATTTCAATGTCTATTTATCGTATTACTCGAGCGTTAGACGATCTAGAGTCCATACGCCTAAGTAGCCCATTACGCCCATTTGGGTACTTAAAGTTGACTTTATAGACAATAGGGGTATTCACGATCTGGTGCATACTGTCTAGCATAGTGCATAGATAGCATAAATACCATGATTGTTGTTGTTTCATGTGTTCAAACAACAACAATATTAGTCAATCATGCTATCTATGCACCATGCTAGACAGTATGCACCGGATCGTGAATACCCCTAATGTTTTTATGTAAAAATACAAATTTTTTAAAATGCCATAATGAAAAAAATCAAAAAGAAAAATGTTTACTTAATTTTTGTATTTTTTTTTTGTTTTTTATACGTTGCACATCAATGTAAAAAATGTATAATTAAAGTCCATAATAAGACGGAAGAAATAATTTTTTTTTCATTAAATTTCGTGAAAAGGTATCCAAGATAAAGAACTTTAAAGAAAGGTATGTATGACGTTTTCTTAAAATTTAAGCCTTGTGTAAATAGATAACCCTAAGTCCCATTGGCAAAATATGCTGCACGTATATTCATGTCACCTAGACCTTCAATCTCTTCAACTCTCATCCAAATCCTTAGAGGTCGGGCACAGAGGTGGCCGCGGTGACATGGAGTGCCTCATTTTTGCAAAAAAACGTTTATTGACAACTTGCTACGTATATCTCATCATCAGTTTTCGAAAACAAGTTACAAAAAATTATTCACTCTAACAAAATAAAATAATGTAAAAAAAAAAATATTTTTTAAAAAGAAGCTTTTATTTAAAATGTACAATCAAAGGAATAAAATAAAGTAGTGTAACAAAAAAATTTTTAGCAAGAAAATTTTGTCAAAACTACACTAAAATTAATAAAATATAATAATTTAAGGTCTCGTTAAAGTTACTAAAAGCCATTTAGTGAAAGGAGTTCCTGAAACTCTAATGAAAATTACTAACAATTTATACTAATTTACTTCGTTTTTAAAAAAGTTTGTCGCGCGAATAGCAAACCGGCATTTAAATATCTGCATACATACATATACATACCTAACCAATTTTGCATGAACGCTGAATTCGCCGACAAGCTTTTAGTTAGTAATTTTCATTAGAGTTTGAATAATTCCTTTCACTAAATGGCTTTTAGTAACTTTAACGAGACCTTAAATTATTTTATTTTATTCATTTTAGTGCAGTTTTGACAAAATATTCTTGCTAAAAAATCTTTTGTTACACTACTTTATTTTATTCCTTTGATTGTACATTTTAAATAAAAGCTTGTTTTTAAAAAATATTTTTTTTTTTACATTATTTTATTTTGTTAGAGTGAATAATTTTTTGTAACTTCTTTTTAGTTCTTATTGTAATTCGAATAGCAAACCGGCATTTAAATATCTGCATACATACATATACATA